ATTCAAACGGTCTTAAGTCAACGTCTCGTGTCTTTGGGCTAAACATCTCCTGATTTTTCATGGTGGCATGGAAAAAGCTCTAACCTGAAAGTCATGAAACCCTGAGACCAATTTTTTGGACAAGTCACTTCAACTGTCTAGACATCAGTTTCTACATCTATAAATTAGGAGGGTTGGACCCTCATTAAGCTCCATTACAGCTCTAATATTCTGGGTGTCTGTAAGATATTGAGCCTCTGATTGGCTGTGTGACTTTGTACTGGTTGCACCCCACCTCTGTTCTGCCTGTGAAAGGGGCTACAGAGAGGTTCTGTCAGAGCCACAAGAAGAATTTTTGTACCAGAGGCAAGAGACAAGAAAGGCAATGATCAATGCAGGGGAGGGAAGTGAGACAGTGACCCTGGCACTCTCAAGGAGGAGCTGGCCTTTGCAGATCATTCAGTAGCCTCCAATCCAACAGTAATTTATTAAAGTTCTTACTATGAGCAAGGCTCTGTGGTGGGTGTTGGAGATTCATAAGCAAAATGAAAAATAGTTCCTGCCTTCAAAGAGCTTTTATTCTACTGGTTTAAGGGCTCTTAACTTTCTTTGTGCCATAGACTCCTTGGGCAGTGTGGTGAATCCTATGGATCTCTTCTCAGAATAATGTTACTAAATGCATAAAATAAAATGTATAGGATTGCAGAAGAAACCAATCATATTGAAGTACAGTTATCAAAACAGTTTTATAAAAGTATATGGACCTCAGAACCGCTGTTAGCAAGGGAATGCAACACGCAAAGAGATAAGTATAACAGAAGGTAAATTGGGGAGGAACAGACCCTGTAGGTGAGGCATTCTTAATCTGAACTTATTTTTTAAAATATATGTATTTTGATAACTGTATTTCAATATCATTGCTTTCCTCTGTGATGCCATGTATGTACTTTATGCATTTAGCAACATTATTCTGAGAAAGGCTCACTAGGCTTCACCAGCGCCAAAGGGGTCCATGACATACACAAAAATGTTCAGAACCCCTGGACTAGGGTGACTGGAAAAGTCTTCCCCTAGGAAGGCGTGTGAGCTAAGTGCTGATAGATGATAGGGATTTTAAGAGGTGAGGATCAATGCATAAAAGGGCATAGAACTAGGAGAATGGAAGGCCTAAGTTCAGGGAACGTAAAGCAGGGCAGTTTGCCTGGAATGTAGAATGTGCAAAGAGGAGTATCTTGATCTAAGCCTGGAAAGGTAGGTCACCACCAGATTGTGTAGGGCTTGAAATGTAAGGTTGAAGAGTTTGTATTTTATTCTAGAGGCCATGAGAATCCACTGAAGATGTTTGAGCAGGAAGGTCATGGTCAGATTTGTGTTTTCAGAAGGTTACTTTGCAGATTGTGGAGGATGGTCCAGAAGGGAATAGACTGGGAACCAAGAGTCCATACAGGAGGCTGCTGCAATTCCAGGCAAGAAGCAAGGAAGGAAGGAAGGAAGGAAGGGAGGAAGGAAGGAAGGAAGGAAGGAAGGAAGGAAGGAAGGAAGGAAGGGAGGGAGGAAGGGAGGAAGGAACTTAGGAAGGAAGGATTTAGAAAATGCCTATTATGTACCAGGTATTTTATGAATATTATCTCATTCAATCCTTCCAACAATCCTGGGAAGTAAGGGCTCTTATCATCCCCATTTTACAGATGAGGAAACTGAAGTGAACATAGGTTAAGTGACTTGTCCAGAGTCACACAGCTAAGAAGTATCTGAGGCTGGATTTGAACTTAGATCTTCCAGGCTGTAGGTCCAGTACTCTATCCACTGTGCCACATGACTGCCTCTAAGATGATGAAGGCCTGAACCATCACGGTGGACTTATGAGTGGAGAGAAGACAATAGATCAACACCAAAAAAAAAAAATAGCAAGTGTTTATTTCTTACATGCCTACTGTGCCAGGTACCTTGCTAATTGCTGAAGATACAAAGACAAAAGTGAAAGTAGACCCTGTCCTCAAGAAGTTAAATGATACATTTGATAGAGCACAGGTAGTGTCAGGAAGACCTGAATTCAAATCCCGCTACAGACACTTACTAGCTGTTTATATTTGTGACCCTGGGCAAGTCATTTAACATTTTTCTGTTTCAGCTTTCTTATCTGTAAAATGAGGATAATAATAATATCTGTATCCCAGAGTTGCTATGAGAATCAACTGAGATAAAGCGCTATATATAAATGTTAGCTGGTTTTTGTTTGTTTGTTTGTTTTGTTTAGGCAATGGGGTTAAGTGACTTGCCCGGGGTCACACAGTATTTTTATTATGTTAACCAAGGAAACAGCATGTACATATATGTGTATACAACATATATACGTATATATGTGTGTATATATACATATACATGTATTTGTGTGTATATATTCATATATATCTATATCTATATATGAATAGAAGGTAGTTTTGGGAAGGAGAGCACTGGGAGATGGGCAGGGGAAGGAATCAGGGAAGACTTCATGTAGGAGGTGGATCTTTACTGCGTCTTAAAGAAATCAATTGGGGAGGTGAGGAAGGAGCAGATTCCAGGCATGGGGACAGGCATTGCTAAAACAGAGACGGGAGTTACAGTCACTGGCAGGTAGGTCAGCAGGGCTGGGTGATCAAGTTTGTGGAGGGAAGTAACACTCAAGACTGAAAAATAAGAAGGGGCTTTAAGGGGAAGAGCTTTAAATGCCAAACAGAGAGAGGAGTTTACATTTGGCCCAAAAGATAATATGGTTCCACTGGAGTTTATTGAAAAGGGGCTTAATCTGGTCAGGCAAATACTTTAGGAGAATCACTTTGGCTTCTATGTGAAGAATGAATTAGAGAGGGGAGAGACTTGAAGCAGGGAGACCATGGGAGGTTATGGTAAAAGGCAAGAAGTGATGAAGACATGAAGATATGTTGTGAAAGTATAGACAAGACTTAGCAACTGATTAGATCAGCCATCAATCAACAAGTATTTATTAAGTGCTTACTGTGTGCTTGGCACTGCGACAAGTACAAAGGTTGAACGAGCCCTCCCGGCCCCATGACATTCCAATGGGGGTGGGGAACAAGTGGGAAGAATTGGGGAGAGAGAGAGAGTAAAGGGAGAAGAGAAGGCCTAGGGCAGAATGTTGGGGAAGACCCACAGTAAAGGGGCCTGATTTGGGTGATGAGCAAGCAAAGGAGGATATGGGGGTGTTGCTATAGCAAGTGAGGAAAACAGAAGAATCAAGGATTTTAGTGTGGTTGTGACTAGAAGAATGGTGGTGCTCTCAACAGAAGTAGGGAAATTTGGAAGAAAGGTGGATTTGGGAAGAGGAGGAGTTCTCTTTTGGACACGCTAAATTTGAGATGCTCACAGACGGAGTCTCAAGGTCAGGGACTGGCTCATTTTGTATCTCTGGCACAGAGCATAGTGCCCTGCTTGTAGTAGACATTTAATAAATGTTCGTCAAATAAATAAGTGCATTAATATCCAACAGGCAGTTGGTAATTGGGCCTGGCATGCAGGAGGCTGTTTAGGCCATTTGGTTCTTATAACAACCTATGAGGTAGGTGCTATTCTTATTCCTATTTTACAGATGAGGAAACTGAGATAGCCAGAGTTTAAGTGACTTGCCCAGCTAGCAAGTACCAAGACCAGATTTAAACTGAGGTCTTCCTGACTCCAGGTCCAGTGCTCTCTCCACTGGCCACTAGACGGCCAGGAGGAGAAGGTGGTAGACAGTGTCAAAAGCTGCAGAGAGATCAAGAAGGATGAGGACTGAGAAAAGCCATTTGCATTTGGCAGCTAGATCATTGGTAACTTTGGAGAGCACAATTTCAGTTAAATCATGAAGCTAGAAGTCAAGTTACAAGGGGTTGAGAAATGAGTGGGAGGAGAGAAAGGAGAAGAGAAGCTAGAGTAGTCTGGAGGGCCTATATGACGTGGTGGAATTGGGGAAGTCCTGGCTCCCTTTCCCACCCTCCATCTCAACTCTCCCACTCCATACTAAGAAACGGCTCTAAGTATGTGCTGATGGTGGGGGAGGTTGCGGGCAAGAGGTGGCAAAGAACCAGATTCCTGCACTGTGATGTGAAGGCTTTGGCGAATATCAGTTCATCCACTGACCAAGTCTTGGCCAAGCTGGTGCCTGTATGTCCCAGGGGTCTTACTCCCGCTCTGTGTTGTTGTTATTGTTATTGTTATTGTTATTGCTGGTTCTTCATTCTCCAAGAGGACCCTGACTTGCAAGTGAATTGGATTTAAGTGAGGGAGGGCTATGCAATGTCACCAGCCTCACTTTCTCCTCCGGAGCCTATCAAGATATCTTAGGGGAGGAGGGAGCCAAGCATGTGTGAAAGGGGTGGCAAAAGGGAGCACACTGTTGGTGAGCCATGTGCAGTTCTAGCTTCTGTTGTCCTACTCCTCTATTACCCTTCTGAGGAAAAGTTCTGGGACCTATGGAACCCAAGAGAATGGGAATTTATGGCAGCAGTCTCCCAAAATCATCTGGTTCCTCCCTCCTGCCCTGACCCATGACAACTCCTGGGAAATCGCTGCTCCGTAAGGACTGGACCCTCACATAGTCTATGGAGAGGTTTAAAAAGTGAGTTCTGTCCTTTTCCCCTTCCTCCTGGCCTCAGCTTGGCTACAAGGCATCGAGAGTATAAGAACCTTAGCACGCCTGCAAGTAAAGAAGATGCCTGGCTCTAACTTTCCCAGGATCTGGTGGGTGGTGGGGAAATGGTGACGAGGCATAGGACAGACTCAGTGGAAGACGTGCCACAGGCAGCTTGTCAGTCCCGACTGCTCCCCCCACACATGGACCATCACTCATCTGTGTGTGGCTTTGTAGCCTTGTTTCCTGTGCCTGTGGCACCAATTTGGTGGCACCTGGGGGAAAGTCCCATTCACTCTACTGAGGTTACAGCTGTAGTCTCTACTGACAATTAGTTACGATTAAGATTAAATTGAAGTTAAGGCTAATGTTAAATTGAGATCTTCAGTGAGAGATTAAAGAAACACATAGAGACAGTTTCAGCTTTATATTTCTCCTATGAGAGAAGGGGTTACAATTTATTGTAACTAGAGAGAAAGAAGGCTTAGAAACCAAAGCACAAATCTGGGGTTAATAAGGAAAAAACAAAATGGAGAGTATAAAATACAGCCACAAACGCCTGAATCCCTCCTCATGATAGGGCTCTGAGTTGAGACAGAGCGGAGTTTTAGGAGCAGGGCAGGGTGGTCAGTTGGAACGAGCTCCAAGGTTGGCAGGGGAACCGGAGGAGTCAGCTCTGGTCCTGGAGCGATGAACAGTCACAGCACTTGCAGGAGTCGTCATACACCAGGCCCACAGGGCAGGACAGTCGGAACGTCCGTGTCTCCACACAGTTGTAGAAAGTGTTGCGGTCTTGAGAGTTGGCGTAGAGGCCATTTTCTTTGTCCTGGCAGAAGGTGTTTCCTCCTGGAGCGGGGCTCTCGCTTGGCGATGTGATGCCTGTGGGGACAGCAGAACTCAATCATCCTCAATGTCTTCAAATCCTGGGTGTGGATATAACCCACAGAGAACTACCACATGCTAGAGATAAGAACAGCCGTACTGTATAGCCAGAGAAAGGTGAGGTGCCCCGGTCACTTAGAACAAACAGCCAAGCAGAACAGGAAGGGCCTGCACTGGATTTGTGGTCGTTGAATTGTTTTACTATAGCTGGTTTCTCTATCTCCACCTTGTGGAAGAAAAACTGGGCACCATGTGCTTTTAATTTAGGGCACCCAGCCTGTCAAAGACTTTTTATTAATATGCTGGAATTTTTGCTTAGAGAGACGTGCAGTAAAGTAATTGGAATTCTCTTTAACATAAACAATGTCTACTTACATTTTACAAAACAATCATGAAACAAAAGACAAAATTCCACAGCCAGATAAAACAAAGCATGCTTAGGTTTGGGGTTTTTGATCTACTAAAAAAGAAAAATAGTAATGTTAATGTTAGAGCCACACCCTTGGAAACAATCTGTCTTCCTGAAAAGCTAGAGGGTCCTTCTGTGGGTTAGTTCCAAGGTGGGAATAAAAGGGTTACCTTCCTTGACTTAGTCCATGATAAAGTAAGGGACACTTCTACTGGCTAACAAAGGGGCATTTTCTCTATCAAATCACTGGTTTATTCTCTAAAAGAAATATAGCCCATTTTGATGTGAAATGCAAATAACCCCACCTGTTTTGAGATTGTCCCTGATTCTACAAAGGGACGGGAAGTTAAAGCTAGACTAAAGGCATTGTCATAATATTAATTCTTACTATTTTATAATGCAATTGAGACCTTGGAGGATGTGCTTCTGAATTCCACCATTTTGTATGGAGCACAAAATAAACTTAAGCCACACTCATTAATTCCAAGATCTCACTCTGCATCCGCCCTCTTTAGGGGCAGTTAGGTGTCGCCATAGCGGATAAAGCAGCAGGCCCGGAGTCAGGAGGACTCAAGTTCCTGAGCTCAAATCTGGCAGCCGACACTAGCTGTGTGACCCTGAGCAAGTCACTTAACCCTGTCTGCCTCAGTTTCCTCATCTGTAAAATGAGTCACTGATTTAGTGACTCAATATCCTAAAGTCACTCAATATCCTAAAGAATGGCCAGAAAGCTATCAAGATCTGGGTAGTTGTATGTGAGCAAAAGTGATCCAATTTAAGGACAACTGGAACTTAAATAAACCGACCTGTAGGTAGTCTGATCCCTTTGGTCATACCTACTTAAAAAATGGATGAATGTCCTGAATCTATATACTGATTATTCCAAAACAGCGATAACTCATCTGAAGAGGGTTTTTCCTGTTCTTTGTTCAACTCAATAAATAAGTATCATATATTACAACTCCATCCTCATCTCTAATTTTTGTGCAGACTGCAAATGATTGGAAAGGCCAGCAAGTTCAACAATTTCTAATTCCTTACCAAATGTGTGGCATTATTTCAAGAGCACTTATGATCTGACCAGACTCTCTCAGGGGATTGATTTCCTACACATTATGGAGGACTATTTAATCACACATACATCTTCCTGAGGGTCCTGGTTAAGCCCTGTAAATCAGGGCTCATACTCTCAGACATAGGCATGGAATAGGCACTATGAATGGCATTCTATTAAGCTGAGAACCTTCAGGTACACTGCACAGTCATGAATCAGAATGGACTCTTGATTTATCAGTTAGACTGTCAAGTCTATATAGATGAGCAAGACCCCTGTATGGCCCACAGTTGGTCATTCAACAAATCCTGGAGCTCAGAACATGATCTGCTCCATTGGAGTCTCTCAGGCTGCTGGGCAATCTCATTTAATAATAAAGAAAAAAGAATTCTCATGTACTTGCTTGCCATAGAAATGTTACAGTATTCTACCAAACCCACGTGAAGCTGATTTGACTGGGTTCTTTTCATAAGAACAGTGGTGTATTTTGTCTCAAGTGGTCTCTTTCTAGGTCTTGATGTATATCTCACATTGAGAATGCAGCATTGGCCTGATCCCAGACAAAGCAATGACATCTTTTTTGCCTCTCCTAGGGTGTAAGGACACCACTACTAATCAGGGCCCTAAGTTATAACAATCCAATAGTTCTTCCCTTGGAGCATGAGTACTGGGAAGTGACAGGTAGTTAAAGAAAGGCCATTTAAAAAGTAATCCCAAGTATATAATTTTCAATCATCTATCATCTTCCTCAACTTTAGATTCTGTCATAAGATGACAATGTCAGCACCAGGAACCACTGTTATATCTATATTCCTTTATAAAATGCTATGATATCATTATAAACAAAAGCATGGTCATCAATGACAACCATTTGTACAACAGTTATTATAGTTTTGTATACTAGAATGCATATCTATCAAATCCCTTCTTAAAGAACACATTCACGACCAATGAGGCAGATTGTAGTAACAGGAAAAGGTCTTCAAAATAGCAAGGGATGCTAGCTGCTCCAAAATCTATAGGACAATAGATCTCCCATTTCCAGCCATATCTTTCCCTATTCCCTTGAGAAAGGTACTCATCAGGACCAGCTATTTGGGATTAACGTATAGTCTTTCTGTCCTGGAGGTGGTAGACGCTACCACCTACTATGGCCTGTTTGTGTTAGAGCAGTAAAGCCTCCTCTTTGGGCAGGGGAAATGTTACTAGAACTATCAGCGTCATCTCCTGCTTTAAAACCCATTGTAGCGAAAATTCTTTTACAGTGGTATACACTAACTCAGGATTAGAGGCCTTGGCTTTCAGCAATAGTTTTAGTGATCAACAGTATCTGATTACAGTAATTTGTGACCGCTTCAAAGTCTATTTTAGCAATAGAGTAAGCATAAGCGCTAACCTAAACACATATACTAAAACAAGATACACACACACGCACACACACAGACACACACACACACACACACACATGTACTACTATAGGTAATAGATATGCTACTATAACAATATATACTGTAGGCATAATTTTATTCAAATATATACTAAATTAATAAATTTATTCAAATTTAATCATTTGAATAGAATCAAACTACATGTTCACAATAAAAAAATGACCCACTACATATTGCTGTTGTTTAGCCAATTAGTCATGCCCAACTATTTGTCATTCGGGGTTTTCTTGGCAAAGATACTGGAATGGTTTGCCATTTCCTTCTCCAGCTCATTTTACAGATGAGGAAACTGAGGCAAATAGGATTAAGTGACTTGCCCACAGTCACACAGCTAATATGTGTCTGAGGCCACATTTGAACTATGGAAGATGAGTCTTCCTGACTCCGCACCAGCACTCTATCCTCTACCTTCCTGTCCTTCTTTTAGTCAAAGTAAATAAAATAATCTTAGTCCTAGAGGTAGTCATAAAAGTAAAGGAAAGCCACTTTGGTCAACAAAGGACATCCCTTCAATCTAATGAATGATTTGGATCTCTAAAAAGAACTATACAAAGACATCCTATTTTGATATAGGAGCAACTAAGTGGTGCAGAGCATTGAACCTGGAGTCAGGAAGACTCATCTTCCCAATCTAGTTTGCCTCAGTTTCCTCATCTGTCAAATGAGTTGGAGAAAGAAATGGAGAACCACTCCATCACTTTTGCCAAGAAAACCCCAAATGGGGTCACAAAGAGTCAGAAACGACTAAAACTTCTGAACAACAATAACATCAAATCTTGATGTAGACTGTGAGCTCCTAGAGATCAAGAACTGTGGTTTGTAGTTCTGTTTTTGTCTGTCTTTGTATCCCCAGCACTTGGCACAGTGCCTGGTGTATAGTAGGCACTAAATCAGTCAATAAGCATTTATTAAGCACCCGTGTTTGCTTCGGTTTCCTCATCTGTAAAATGAGCTGGAGGAGGAAATGGCAAACCATTCCAGTATCTTCACCAAGAAAACTCCAAATGGGGTCATGAAGAGTCAGACATGACTGAAACAGCTGAACCACCACCACAATGTGCCTTGCAGTGTGCTAAGCACTGGGGACACAAAAAGAGGCAAAAGATAGTCTCAAGTAAACAAATCTGTACCAACAAGCTACATACAAGACAAGCGGGAAGGAATTAAGAGGAGAAAGGCACTAGAATTAAGAGGGCTTAGGAAAGGTTTTCTGTACAAGATAAGATTTAGTTGAGACTTGAAAGAAGCCAGAGTAGCCAGGAGGCCAAGATGAGGAAGGAGAACACTGCAGGTCTGTGGAACGGCCGAGAAAACGTCCAAAGCCAAGAGATGGAGTGTCTTGGAATGGCCAGGAGGCCAGTGTCACTGGATTAGAGAATGTGTGGTAGGGAGAAAGGTGTGAGAGGACTGGAAAGGTAGGAGGAGGCTAGGTTAGGCAGGGCTTTGAATGCCAAACAGAGGAGGTTGTATCTGATCTTGGAGGTAATAGGTTGCCACTGGATTTGACTACATAGGAGTGTGTGTGTGTGTGTGTGTGTGTGTGTGTGTGTGTGTGAAAATCACTTTGGTGGCTGAATGGAGCATAGGATTGGAAATGGATTGGACTAGAAAGAAACTCAAGGTGGGCAGATCACCAGCTGGCTATTGCAACTATCCAGGTGTGAGGTGATGAGGGCCTGAACTAGAAGGATCGCAGTGCCAGAAGAGAGAGGGTGTATTGGACAGCTGTTGAAAAGTTGAAATAAATGCTTGTTGACCGAATGACTGGTATCTGATCCTAGGGAGTCAAGAAAGATTAAGAACACCAGACCAAAGACACTGTTACAATATTAAATCTTAATATTTTATAACACAATTGAGGCTTTAGGGGAAGAGAATAAACCTTTATATAGTACCTGCTCTGTGCCAGGAACTTTGCAAATATTATCTCAATTGATCCTCATAACAACCCTGCAAGGTAAGTACTGTTATTAGCCCCATTTTACAGTTGAGGACACTGAGGTTAAGTGACTTGCCATGGGTCACACAGCTAGGAAGTATCTGAGGCTAGATTTGAACTCAAGTCTTCCTGATTCCAGGTGCAGTGCTCTATCCACTGTGCCATCAGCTGCCTTGGAGCTCAGTTTCCAAGACCTCCTGAGATGAAACCACCACATTGCACAGGTTCCCATGAAAGATAAAATAAGATGAAATGGGACCATCATCACTGATGCAAAGAAGGCAGAGAGGAGAGAAAGCAAGTGGAGCTTTTATAGAAGTGAATGTCAACAAGTTTCTCAATCAGGGTTTGTTGGAGTAGACGAGGTTTAGAGAATCAGTCTTAAGACAAAGGCAGTTCTCCAAAGCAATAGAGGAGCCTGGGGTTCAGGGGAGGCCTTTACTCACCCAACTCCTTCTTTAACGTCTGGATGAGTGGGTACGGGCCCTTGTTGCAGAAGGTGCCCTTGAAGTCATCCATGTCTATGGCCCAGACCATGGCGCCACCTAGTCCTTTCTGCTTCAGATATGCCACCTAGTGTGGGAAAGAGAGGGAAAGATTATGGGCAGGTGTGTCAAAGGCCCCTTGGGCCAGGGGATGACAAGCTGAAAGGCCTAGGTGGAAGGAATCTTTTAAAGCCATAGTTTCACCATCTGGAAAGCAGCCTTTCTTCCAGGGCTAGCCAGCTTGTTAGAAAAGTTACATTTATTAACTGTGTGGTCTGATAAACTTCACTTCTCATCGCTTCAGTTTTTTCACTTCTAAAATGAGAGGATTGGATTAGACAAAGAATTCTAAAGTTTTGGGGTGTTACAGAGATCTTTGGTAGTCTGGTGAATCCTACGGAACCCTTCTTAGAATGCAAAATCAAATACATAGGACTACAAAGGAAATTATTTTGAAATTCAGTTATCAAAATATTTGATAAAACAAATTCATGGACCTCTGGTTAAGAACTAGATGATCTCTGAGATTTCTTCCAACTCTGACATTCCTAGATTCTGTGATATTATTTAATAACCCTGTAGAGCTCAAGTTGATAACCTCTACCAGGCCCTGGTCATTCTATAGGCTCATAAATTCATAGAATGTTAGGCTAGAAGTGTATTTATAGCTATTCTTGACCAGTGCTTTGTGTGACCGTTACAGCACACCTCCCAATTTGATTACTAATTTTTTGTTGTGGAAGTAAGTCTAAGGGATGGAAGAAGTCCTATGGCAGCTTGGATCCACTTATTTATTTATGATATTCTAAAACTGCCAGTGAAACCTCCACTTGGGGAAATTCCCTTCCTAAGTAGAAGAAACCGTGGATTATGTGTAATGTATTGCGTTGAGTTAATAGTTTTCTTTCAAGAATCCAGAACCACTTTTCCCGTTTTCCTAACTTTTGTGAAAAGCCTTACTATGCAGGCTCAGCCCCACTTCCTCCCACTCAACTCCTTCGGTTATCTTTGGATAATTGGGAAAAACTGTCCAGCACAAACCTCCCATACAGATAAAAACTGCTTGTGTCTAAGGCTACTGAGGATGTTGACTGTGTGCCTAGGAAGAGTTTTCAGGATGACCAATCCGGAATTCAGAAAGACTATTCATGAGCTCAGCTGCCTTTACCTTAAACATTTGGCACTCCCCAAACCATGGGTGTTGGGAGTAGTTCAAAATAGAACATTTACCGATAAGCTGCCAAATCACCAAGCTGAAAGAAGATTTACAGCAGCCTGCCCTCCATAAATGGGGGAGCTGATAATATAGGAAGATTCCTCCTCTATACCCAGGATTAACACTGGAAACAGTCACATTCCTACCCTCTACTGTTATCTTGGAACCAAAGCCACCTCTGTTAGAGCCTTTAATAAATTTCACTTAAATATGTAAGTTATTCATTGGGCTATGCTTTCGCTTTTTAATTGTTTGGAGGTAATGGCTACCACATAATCATCCATTTAGAGAGCATTTGCTGATAAATGCTGGGGATCAATGACCTCTCTAGCCTCTAAAATTAGCCCTTCAAACCCAAGACAAAGGTGCCTCTAATAGATATGAGGAAATTGAGAGGGTTAGGATAGCAAGTGGTTAATTGTGGGATTTGAGTGAACCACATTAACTACATCTTGTGACTCAATTCTGGAGCTAGCTCAGTTCACTTTTTATTCAATCATGAGTCTAGTTAAAATGCTGTCCTGTGAGAAAATTCAATTGTGGGAACTGAGAGAAAACCTTATTGCATTGTTTGAACCCAGCCCTGCATGGATGGGAAATTGGACTACCTTTCCTTGCTGCTTAGAGACTTTTAACTAAGGACCTTGGTTATGCTGACCAGAAATCCAGTCAGATCCAAACATTGATGCAAGGAGTTTTCTCACAATTATATATCTCAAGCAATTCAAATGTCTTCTCTGAAAACTGGCCCATACTGATCAATCAGTTATTATTTCCATTTGACTGTTTACAGATACTTGGAAGGAGTGGAACACTTCTTTTTCTGAATTTAGGAAATTTTATCTATTCATTCTCCCCCTCCCAACTTGGAAAGTCCCTAATCTTCCCTTCAATTAGAAATCAGATTACCTAACGTTCTATTGTTTCCTTTTAGTTAATTGACCTCATTTGATTAATTGTTTTGAATATATAAAAGTCTGCCTTTTCCAGTATTCAGGGTCCAGACCTTAGCTGAGGATGTCTGGTTCTGGTTTTTTGAGGAATTGGCATGTATTGCTTAATAAATGGAGGTGCTCAGAAGATGGAACCTTTGTTTTTCTCTGTCATTTTATCTTTCACCCACCATAGATTTATTCCAACCCACTTATTTTGTAGAAGAGGAAACTATAACACTTTCCCCTCATTACTGATACAAATATATTTTATAGGGGACCCCCTTTGTATAGGTATTATTGTGGGACAATACTAGCTAACAAGGGTTGATGGTTGTCCCAAAGGATAAATGTAGAAACTTTAAAACCCTTTACTGAACCCCAGCTCTCAGCATCTGCTTCCTTCAGAAAATCCAATTTGAGAAAGAGAAAGTTTGTAAATCATAACTATTCTGGTTTTGCAATGTATATTATTTGGAAAGCACTGAGATTCTTGGTTTAAAGATTTGTAGAATTATAGGTTTTTTCAAACCAGTAAATATGGGGGCAGCTAGGTGGTGCAGTGGCTAGAGCTCTGGCTTTGGTGTCAGGAGACCTGAGTTCAAATCTGCCCTCAGACACTTGTCACTTATTAGCTGTGTGCCCCGGGGCAAGTCACTTAACCCCATTGCCTAGCCAAAAACAAAAAAAACAAAAAACCCAACCCAGTAAATATAAGAATAAGCAAACAGTTATTATTAGTGGTATATCATTAATATTCACAAGTCATTTGATGATTGATATTTATAAATGTATAAGATCCTATAGGATACTCACCTTGGTTCTGAAGCTCTCCACATCATCAAAGCCCACCCACTGGTTGCCAAGGACAGCATAAGGCACCTTTTGCTCTCTTATCATATGGAAAGCAGTATCCTTCAAGGTACACACCTGGAGGAACAGGTGACAAGCATGGATGGGGGTAGGTAGGCATGGAGAATGGTGGTGGTGGTGGGGTTAGGATTCTTTGCCTCATCCCCTTCTCCCTTCACCCTCACTCTATGTCAAACTAATTCCAGATTTTAGTGGTGGTAGAGTGTCTAAAATGGGAAGCTCCCAGTTTGGATCATCCTGAAGAGTCTAGGAGAGTTCTTAAGTAGCATAGGACGTTTCTAAATGGAATGGAATTGGGACAATAAAGGTTCCAGAATCCTGAGTGGAACAAAAACCATTTCTGGTTTCAAATGGGAGCAGACTTGAACCTCAGAATGAAGCAACATGGTATAAAGACAAGAATGGGCACCATTTGCCTAGTGTTCAAGATGACAGCATCCTCATACAGGGTCTGGGGGTGAAAAGGAATTTCCATATCTCAAGACCCCATTCCCATTTGTATTGACTCTCAACCCCAACCCTACCTCCCAATGTTGGAGAGCTGGTTATCCTACCTCATAGAAAGCCAATAGGCCTCCCTCTTTTGTGAAGGGACCAGGAGTCCCAGCCCCAGAAGCTGGGGCCCCTATCTTTGTGTCTGAAGGGGAAGAAAGGGTAAAACTCCTTCCATAGGTGGGCATGCCCAAGAGCAGTTTGTTTGATGGGGCCCCCTCCTCCAGCCAATAGTTCACAGCAAAATCCTAGGAGGCAGAATAATTAGAGTTAGAACATGGGAAGAGAAGAAATAAGGATTCCCCCAAACCAAGTTTTGTTGGACTCCCGCGAGGCTGATGAGGCAATACTTTAGATGGTGCTTTGAAGTCCCTTTACCAGTGCCCCATCCCAGCCTCTTTTAAATGCCTTAATCTGTTTGAGCTCTTTTTTAGTCTCCAACTTGGTGTAGTGAAAAGAATTCTGGATATGGGAGTCTGGGGAAAGATTTTGAATCCTTGGGGGCATGGTGGTATAGTAGGTAGAATGGTAACCTTCACACCAGGAAAACCTGGGTTCAAATTCCACCTCATACACTTACTAACGGCATGACCCTGTATGGGTCATTTAATTCCCTAAGATTTCTCTTCTGTCAAATGAGGGGGTTGAATTCTGACTTCTAAAGTCCCTTCTGGTCCTCAAACTATGATGACCATTCTATTATTTACTGCCTATTTACTGCCGGGAGAGGGGAAGGGCAACCATGCTCATCAGCTTTTGTGAACCCTAAAGGTCATTTTGTCCATCCTCTTGCCCCTAGAAAAGATATCCCCTTCCTCAGGTCATCAAACACCCTCCAGTCACTTACAATATTAGCTTCAGTTGCTCCTCCTCTCTCAGCCTGCCTCCTGTATAAGGGGCTGTTGTGACCGGTGGTTCTTTCCCAAGTGCCGTGAAAGTCATACGTCATGAGGTTGATGAAATCTAGAGACCTGCAGGTGTCATGGAAGGAGGGAAGTGAAAGGGTGAAGTCTCTCCAGGACTCAAAGACAACTAAGAAGGCAAAGGCTAACAAGTATCAAGAATGGCTGCCATCTCTGAGGACCTGTGATGAGCATGGTTGCCCTTCCCCTCTCCCGGAGTGGGACAGTCCTGCTCCTAGGCGTCTATTCCCTCAGGAAAGAGTACATGCGAGGGATTCCTTCCACCCCATGGGTCTTAGACTCACTGGGAAATTTTCTGGACCTCGTAGCCTCGATCCACTTGGTATCGACCTGCAGGAACCGCTGCACTCAGAAGGAGCCGATTCTTTCCTGACGTCTGACTTTCCTGGAGGAAGGCGTTGTGCAGTTCCTGGGGAGGTAACTTGGGGTCAAATCATACCAAAATCCCCCTGACATAATAATGGCCACCTCCCCTCCCTTCTGGGAGGAAGTGAAGGTCTGGATGGCCACCACATTCGTGAACCTGTTAGTCATTTTTCTCTCTCCAAAAAGGGGAGATTCATACCTGATTCCCACCCCCACAAGAACTTGTGATTTCATTGGGACAAGGAACTCACTCAAAGAAACCTCTTTCTACCAATGCAGAACAACACCAGATATGCAAATTATAGCCTTACAGGGCTGCCTCTGGCACTGAGAAATTAAGCAACCTGCCTGTTACCTCCAAGATCAAATATAAAATGTTCTGTTTGGCATTCAAAGCCTTGTATAACTTGTTCTCTTCCTTCATTTCCAGTCTTCTTACTTTTTTGTACACACACACACACACACACACACACACACACACATCCTGCCCACTCCCACCACATAGTCTGGGATCCAGAAACGTGAATATGACCCCCTTGCTATTCAACAAACAAAACATTCCATCTTCTGACTGAGATTTTCCACTGTTCCCCACTCCTGGAAAGCTCTGCCTCCTCATTTCCACTTTCTGCCTTCCCTGGCTTCCTTTAAGTCCCAGATAAAATCCCACCTTTTATAAGAAGCTTCTCCCAATCCCCCTTAATTCTAGCATCTTGCTTCTGTAGAGTTTTTCCAATTTGTCCTGGATGTAACTTGTTTATATGTAGTATTTGCCCATTTTCTCACCCGTTTCTGCCTTTTACTTTTCTTTATATCCCCAGAACTTCGCCCAGTACTAGGCATATAATAGGTGCTTAATAAATATGTTATTGACTAATTACCTGACTGACTTAGCAGAGTCATGTAGCTAGTACGTGTCAAAAGTAGAACTTGAACCCAGAGCCTCTTGGCTTTCTATTCACTACATCCCCCACTTTCCTTTTTGGCAGTCAAGTATCTGAAAGTAGGAGATGACCTCTAAATGGGAAACATGGTAAAATTCTGACCTGAAGGGCAGCTTAGAGCCTGGAGCCTGGATCTAGCACTTGATGAAGCCACTGGCACTGCACCGGTCTCTGATCCCTTTGGGGGTACTTCATGGCACCCGTACCAAACAGCACCGCCTCCTTCCCATCTCTCCCCAGGAGCTGGAAGGTCAGGTGACCCTTGCCATTCTGCTCTTTTCTCTCACCCCCACACCACCCTACCTTTACCAGAGCTGTGAATCGCTCCTTGTCTACAGCAGGACTATCCCGGCTGCCTGGGTACTCCCAGTCAAGGTCAAAGCCGTCAAAATTGTGTTGACGCAGGAAGCTGATGGCTGACTGGATAAAAATCTGGCGGGTTTCAGGCCCGGCCACCATGTCTGTGAACCTGTGAGGAACCCCAGAGAGGGCAAGTGAATGGGTGTGGATGCTCTGCATCACTACTAACTGGGTGACCCTAGGCAAGTCACTTCATCTCCCCAGGCCTCAGTTTCTTCCTCTGTAAAATGAGGTAGATGGAGTAGATGGCCTCTGGGCACTCTTCCTGCCTTATATCTACAGTCTTATGCTAGGGTTATAGGATTTTAAAGATCACCTAGTCCCACTGAGGCTGGGGGAGAAGATGGGGCTGGATTTGCCCAGGGTCAGACAGGCAATGAATGACAGAGCTTGGATCTCAATCATTCTTCCTCCTGGAGCCAGGGGGAAGGACCACTCAAATTTCAGGGCAGGGCCCTATAGAAACAGACCCACCCTCTCCTTGACTGGGACCCCCTCAAGAGAGAGAGGCAGAAGTTGCCAGACGCTTTCTCCCTCTCTCCCACACCCCAGCACCCCTAGTGCCCAAAGTCCTATCTTCTCAATATCCCCTTAGAATCCGCCAATCTTGGCCATTATTCAGCCAGCTCAGAATAGTCGTCCTTTGCTCAGAGGCAGCTAACTGACACCTCCTGGCATAGAGAATTTCAAAAGGAAAGGAATTCAAGGTCTAGGATGAACAGAGGTCATTGGACTACAGACTTAAGCCTGGAAACAGGGGTCACTGAGGTCCCCAGACTCCAGAACAGAAGGGTAAGGTAAGGACCTGAACAGCTCAGACATATACTGTGTTTTACTTCCCTGAAACATTTCTAGAATTACTGCAATCCCTGAATTTTTTTCTCTCTTTGGGCTCCTGGAATTACTTTGAAATTAATTCAGCCCCATGGTCTATAATGGGGGTGAAACTCAATACAGGATGCTGCATTTGGAGTCAGAAGACCCCTTCTTCATTTTGAACGTGGTGGTATCATTTATGATCTATCTATATGGCCCTAGGCAAGCCATTTTACCTTGGTGAGCCTCAGTTTCCTTATCTGAGAAATTATAATACTAGTGGTCCTGCCTGGCTCATGGGGCTGCTATTAGGATTAAATGAAATAACAAAAGTGAAAGCACTTTCTAAAGAGATTAGGAAGCAGTATTCTTGCCCTGTGCCCATTCTGCTGAAGCCCATGGTGAGAACAGAACTTCCCCTCATCCTGGTGCTACACTTAAATCTTCTTAAGCCATGATAGGACTAGATTCTCTGCTTCCTTGAAATTTGATAAATATTATCTCTATCCCTTTCCCTATACCTTCTATACTATCCACAGTGCCTTACCCTTTTCTTAACCTCCCATCAGTGCTAAGTGGAGCATCTAAGAGTTTAAAAGAATGCTTTGCCTTCAGCCTACCTTCTACCACAGCTCAATAGGGCTTTTCCTGTCTGCCTGAACCCCTAGATCAAGTTCCTCCACCCAACTCATCCCATCAGTGGATCCCACAGACCCCTGACTCACTTCTTAGTGCCAAAATTCCAGCCTCCAAGGGCCAGCAGGAGTTTCAGGTTGGGATTCCTGGGAAAAGACAAGAGAGGCATTAGGAGGGATTAGGGTAGCATTTCTCAAACTTATTGGTCTAAAGACCCCCCCCCTTATATTCTTAAAAATTATTGAGGATCCCAGAGAGCCAGAGATCAAATAAAAATGAAAAAGACTCATATGTATAAAATATTTATAGCAGCTCTTTTGTGGTGGCAAAGAATTGGACGTTGAAGGGATGCCCACTAATTGGAGACTGGCTGAACAAGTTGTGGTATGTGATTGTGATGGAATACTATTGTACTATAAGAAATAATGAGAGGGATGGCTTAATAAAAAACTAGGAAGACTTAAATGAACTGCTGCAAAGTGACGTGGGTAGAACCAGGAAAACATTGTACATAGTAACAATAATATTGTAAGGATGATCAACTGTAAAAGACTAAGCCATTCTGATAAATACAATGATCTGTGACAATTCTAAAGGACTCATGATAAAAATGCTATCCACCTCCAGAGAGAGAACTGATGAACTCTGAGGGCAGATTGAAGTATAATTTTTTTCACTTTCTTTATTTTTCTTGCTTTTCTCTTTTTTTGCAATGTAGTTAATATGACTTCACACATATAATGAATATTATATTGCCTATCTTGTCAATGGATGGGGAAGGGGTATGAGGGAGAGAGAACTTGGAACTCACAAAATATGAATGTTAAATTAAAAAAAACAATTAAAAATAAAGATGAACCTCTTGGGTTCAAAAACAGGATTGCATAAATGCAATGGGGAACACCTAACTTATCAGGCATTCATATGAAAAAAAACCTGACTGTAGATTATATGACTATCGTTATGACTATATTATATGACTATAGACCTTATGGGTCAACAGTTTGACCTAGCAATCCAAAAAGGGACTTCCATCTATATCTGCGCATAACCTACATCATGGAGGTTGTTGTGAGGAAAGTGCTTTGTAATACTTCAGAACGACATATCCAGGGATCCAGAAGAAGGGACGAGATGATTCCTACTAAGGTCACATCTGGAATATTCTGTCTACTTATGGTCAACACATCAGGACACTGATACACTAGAGCCTGTATGGATGAGGACAACCAGGGCCTTAAGGAAAATTCAAACCATATTACGCAAACATCCATTGTCCAAATGGGTCACCCTTATTCTAGAGAAAAGGTGACTCAGGGAGGATGTAATTGGTATATGCCTTCCCGAACCCCTCTTAATTCCAGGGCCCTTCCTCTTTTAATTATGTCCTGTTTGTCCTGTATATAGCTTACTTTGTATATACTTGTTTGTATGTTGTCTTCCCCATAAGATTGTAAGCTTCCTGAGGGCAGAGGATGTCTTTTGCTTCTTTTTGTATCTTTAGCACAGTGCCCAGCAGATAGTAGGCACCTAATAAATGTTTATTGAATTGAATGAAATGGGATTTTGTGTGTGTGTGTGAGTGTGTGTATGTGTGTGTGTGTGTGTGTGTGTGTGTGTGTGTGTGTGTGTATGTAGGGAGATTCCAATTCATTATCAGAGTACTCTTGGAGACCGTGCTTTCTTGGTGCACTTGGCCATGGGTCGGTGTTATCACTTGAAGTCCTAAGTCCAAGCCTCAGATGGGGCATTTTTATTTAAAGGTCACATGGTGTAGCATGGTGTCAGAAGTTCATTGTTGTTCAGTTGTGTCTGACTCTTCATGACCCCATTTGGGGTTTTCTTGGCAAAGATACTGGAGTGGTCTGCCATTTCCTTCTCTGGCTCATTTTGCAGATGAGGAAACTGAGGCAAACAGGGTGAAGTGACTTGCCCAGGATCACATAGCTAGTAAATGTCTGAGGCTGGATTTGAACTAGGGAAGATGAGTTTTCCTGACTCCAGGTCCAGCGCTGTATCCACTGGGCCAGAAGATCTGAGTTCAAATTCCATCTATGCTACTTATTAGCTATGTGATCTTGAATCACTTCCTCCCTTCAGAGTTTACTCATCTATAAAATGAGACCCTTAGACTGAATGATCTCTTCTAGCTCTAAATCTTGTGAGTGCACACCCCAAAATTATTTTTTGTTTGTTTTTTTGGCCAGGCAATGAGGTTAAGTGACTTGCCCAGGGTCACACGACTAGTAAGTGTCAAGTGTCTGAGGCCGGATTTGAACTCAAGTCCTCCTGGTCCTCCAGGGCTGGTGCTCTATCCACTGCGCCACCATCTGCTCCTCCCACAATTATTTTTTTAAAAAATCCTTAGGAATGGCATTCTTGTTTTGGGACTGCGGAGAAACCAAATAGCACAAAGATAGTTCCAAGACCTAGGGAGAATCTAGGCTTAGGGACTACAGCCTAGAGTAGATAGAATTTGATTACATATCTACCATCTTACTCTTGATATTTTTGGATCATGTGTTTTTTTCTTTCACTCATAGTAAATCCTAGAAAAACACACAGTGGGCTGGACTGTGTGTCACAAATGGGAAGGTAATTAAGTGACTTGTATGAGCTGATGCTGAGCAAAATTAGTAGAATTAAGAAAACAATATTCACAATGACAACAATGTAATTAAATAATCACTAGAAGGAAACTGAACTCTGAGTAATTGAAAAACCAGGGGAAATTCTGAAGAACAGATAATGAAATGAATCTGTGCTCTCATACTGAACAGTAGAGGACTGGTAGGAAAGACGATGACATCCACTGTTATGTGCTCACTGACTCTAAATTGGATTTTGTTGTTAATTGCTTTTCTTTGTCATAAAGCAAGGCAGGGGTAGGGAGGCTGTTGAAATGATCTTGATGTAAAGACAAAAAGATATCAATAAAATGTTTTGGATTTTTTTTAAGTGAGGAAGAGACACCCCCTCTTATCCTCACTAGATGTATGTGTATGGATAAGTCATTTAGCTCTTCTGAGCCTCAGTTTCCACATCAGTGAAATGGGGACAATCACAGTTATGCTTCACATTACCTACTTCATATGATTATTGTAAGGATCAATGAGATTTCACACATATGTGTGTGTTTCCCTATGTGTGCATGTGTGTGCATTTATATACAAATATGTATATAAAGAACATGTACATATAACTTTACAAACTTTCTAGCATTATATTTTCAGTAATTATTATTCTATTCTATTTTTATTATACTGTATATTATAATATAATGTTTCATTATATTATATTGTATTTATCATTATTGTCATTATTAAGGATTCCTGGCCTAGTTCTAAATTAAAATGTTCAGGTGGTTGATGTGATCTGCAAGGCCTAAGGCCTGAAATTGGATTTTTTTCAGGAACTCTGTAATGAGAGCAGAGGGACACGGAATGAAGGAGAGGCCCTGGAGAACTAGTCTAAGAAGGCTTCCTGGAGGTAGAGAGTCATGAAATAAGAATTCAGACCTCAACCCCAAGGAAGATTAGCTAATGCATGAAGTATTGAAATACTAAGGTAGATAGAAGTGAGCATGCATTTTTCTTGGGGGAGCACATCAAAGGATATCTGTCTCGGTTTCCTTGCTCTTTGAGACACTGGCTCTCTCCCCCCACCTTCCCTTTGCCATCTGTGGCTCACCTGCTTTTCAGACTGTTCAAATCCTTGTAAAACTGCACATCATTTGGGTCAAATGTGGTGAGATGGTGATCCTTCATGTCAGCAAAGGCATAGATGAGGTGAGTGCAAAGGAAGGGGTCCACATCCTTGGGGAGGAAGGCTGCCTGGCCAGACCTATATTGGGACCAGTTGGTGAAGTAGCAGACCAGCTTATCAGCAGAGCCTGGGATGGGAATAGACAGAAACCCGATAGAAGTGAGAGGGAGGGAAAGCCTACCTGGAAACCCCTCTCCTGGACGAGGGTGGAAAGAGGGAGGGGTGGGGGAGAAGGGATGGATTGTGGTCTTGGTCGTTGGATCCCAAAACTAGATTGGGGGATGGGATGAGTATCTTTGCCTCTTTAAGACACAGTATTCATGTGGTCCAATGGAAAGAGGGCTGGATGAGTACGTAGCTGGAAGACCTGGGCTCAAATATTGTTTCCGTCATTTACTACATAAGTGACCTAGGGCAAGCCAGGTAAATCTTCTGGCCCTCAATTTCTTCTTGTGTAAAACAAGAGGATCAGTCTAGATGATCTCTAAGATTCCTTCTAGCTCGAAATCTATGGTCCTCTGACCTTTGAGTGATGTTGGGGTCAGAAACATTGCCAAGATGGCTAGTGAAAAATTGGCTCTTTTCTCCATCCTTTCTTTTCTGACTGGAACAGAAGACAGAAATACTGAGGGGGTAAGGATAAGGAGACAAACAGAATACAGTCCCAGTCAAGAACCTTAGCCACAGTGTTTGAGTAAATATTCGGTTAAGTACTAGAAGTCTAGAGTGACCCAGTACAGACAAGAGGAAGAAAGGACTTTCAAAAAAAGAACAGGGAACTGGACTCTTAAGAGCCAAGACAACTTGAGGGCATTTACCTACAAAGCTGCTACTGACCCACAGGACTGTTGGGCTCCTGGAACCCCAGAGGAAGCACATACAGGGGACTCCTGACTCTGAAGGCAGTTAATATTGGAATAAGGCTGAGTACCCAGCTGGGTGCAGGGGGCAAAGAGCACTGCACGTGGAATCAGGGAATGTGGGCGCAAACCCTAACCCCGACACTTACTAGCTGTGTGACCCTGGACAAGTCACTTCAATCTCTCCGGGGTTCAGTTTCCCTCATAAAATGGGGTTACCACCTTATGGGGTTATTGTAAAGAAAGTGCTTTGCAAACTACAAAGTAACACAAAAATATCATCTGCTGTTACTGCTACACACCACCCAAGGGAGAGTCAAAAAAGGAAATGAGAATTTGAAGGAGGACGCGCCAGGATTTAGATTTTTGCTTCTTTTTTTTTTCAAATTAGTATTTTACAGAGGACCAGTTTAGGAATGCTTATACAGATGTTTAATAAAAGAATTTATTTCTTTATTTGGAATGAAGGAAACACGCATTTATTAAGCACCTACTACGTGCAGGCATTGTGATAAGTGATTTACAAATATTATCTCATTTGATCCTCACACAACCTTGTGAAGCAGGTGCTGTTATGAACCTCATTTTACAGTTGAGGAAACTAAAGCAGACAGGGATTAAATAACTTGTCCAGGGTCACACAGTAAGAGTCTGTGGTCAAATTTGAGTCAGGTCTTCCTGATGGATGACTCAGAACTCTATCCACTGTACCACTAGCTGTCTCATTTAGAAGGATTATTCTTGGAATCCATCATCAGAAAAGACTACAGTTCACATTTCTATATGGGTTTACATTTTACAAAGTTGTTTCTTCACAATAACCTTGTGGTGTAGGTTTAGTATTCCCATTTTACAGATGAAGAAACAATTTCAGATAAGTTAAGTGACTTGACCCAGGTCACAATGTCTACCAGTGACAGGGGTGGCTTATTGTTATTCAGCAGTTCATTATGTCCAACTCTTGGTGACCCCATTTGGGGTTTTCTTGGCAAAGATACTGGAGTGGTTTGCATTTCCTTTCCCAACTCATTTTACAAGTGAGGAAACTGAGACACACAAGGTTAAATGACTTGCCCAGGGTCACACAGCTAGTAAGTGTCTGAGGTCAGATTTGACCTCATGTCCTCCTGACTCCAGGTCTGGTGCTCCATCCACTGCATCTCCACTTGCCCTATGACAAGGGTAGCACTTGAATCCAAATTGACTACAAATCCTTCACTCACGTGCTATCTAATGGTGCTGATCAATGCATCAATCCCAAAGCGTTTGTTAGGTGCTTAATAAGTACCGGGTATCATGTGCTGAACACTGGAGATGATACCAAGATAGACAGAAACAGCCCCTGTCTAAGGAGCTCCTACTCTAAGACATAGGTTTTGTGACAAAAGCAGAAAGATAACTGGACTAGATGGGAGACCTGGGTCCCAGTTCCAGTGTTCCCATAGGCCAATGCTATTGGTCAAGTTATCTAGTTCAGGAAATAGCTATCGGGCCAGTTTGGTTGGAAAGCAAACTGTACATATAGTACAGGGAGGAGAGTCAAGTGAAGTCAATGCAGAAAGCTAGTATGTAAGCTCCTGAAGGACAGGAACTATTTCTCTTTTTGTCTTTGTATCTTTGCCTAGCAACATGCTTGACACATATGAACAGATTCTTGTTTAAATGAATTGGGTAGAATTGAAATATCTCTGACTATGATGGAGCCATCTCATCCCTCCATTACTTATTAGAGGCTCATCTGTCCTCCTGGCCTTGCCCCAAGAGGTGACAATCTTTTAGCCAAGGTGGAGAATTTGCAGTTCTCTAAGACTAGGGACAGGGCTGCTAGGTGGCACCATGGTGCATAGAGCACTGGGTTTGGAATCAGTTTTTCTCAATTCAAATCTGGCCTCAGACACTTACTAGCTGTGTGACTCTGGGCAAGTCACTTAACCCTGTTTGCCTCAGTTGCCTTATCTGGAAAATGAGCTGGAAAAGGAAACAACAGACTGCTCCAGTATCTTTGTCAAGAAAACCCCAAATGAGTTCATTGAAAAATGACTTAACAACGATAAGAGTAGGGAGAGAGGGAATTGGAGCAGGAGAAATGAAATGTCAAAGCCATCAGCAGGAATTGTAAAACGAGCCTTAACTGGAACTCAGGGCTCAGTGAGACACTCGTGTCGCCTTCTAACTCTGCCTCTGAGCTGACTACTAAGTCCATTTCCTTCCCTCTTCTGGGTGAATAAACAGTGTCATCTGGAACAGATGTGCTGTCAGAACTTGGATTACTTATTCAGCCTCTCTTTGCCTCTGTCCTCCCCTGCATAATACGGGATCATCCTTTATTTCTCTCCCAGGGCAGTTGGGAAATTGAATAAGATCACAAAGGCAAACAAAGGGGACCGAGCTCTTTGGAGAGAAGTCTCTGTAGAAATCCATTTAAAGAATTGTCTTTGATCTTTCGTTTGTATTGTTGATGTGGTGCTTAGAGATCTCAGGGAAAGGGGTGACAGAAATCAAGTGTTTGGTCTAGCAAAATTGTCTACTTACTGCATTGAAGAAACAGCAGAAGAATCAAACCTAAAACAATATAAGAGAGAGAGAAAATGAGTAAGAGAAGGGGAGGGGCGAGAGAGAGTGAGCTAGAGACAGAGAGAGAAACAGAGAGAGTGAGACAGAGACAGAGAGAGAGAGAGACAGAGAAATACAGAGACAGGCAGGGAGATAGAGACGGAGACAGACAGACAGACACAGAGAGAGAGAGAGAGAGAGAGAGAGAGAGAGAGAGAGAGAGAGAG